TCCCTCCTGAACAATTTTGAGGATTTGAATATACCTCTGGTTCAATAATAAATTTATTGTAAATGGCATATGCCACTTGGTGAAACCCGTAGTGCTAGGGAAGCAGTGCCTGCTCAATAGTTGGCTTGTAAGTGGAAAGCGTGAAGAAATGCCTCAGAGAGTTTGACAAGGATTTATTTCATAAAGTGGGACTGATATTTCATTTACCTGCAGATCGATCATGAGTCCCGGTGTCTGGTAGTTGAGGCCGACTAGTTGTATTCCGTGGTTCCAGAANGTAATAACGACGAATGAGTGGTCAGCGACAGCCGCGTGCGGCGAATCGATTACCCAAAATCGTTCCTAACGCCCGTCTCCCTTGACGAGCTCCTCTTGAGAGACGATATCTACAGTGGTTTCATCGAAATGGGAAGAGTTTGAGGGAGAGCCGTTTTTAAACTGCGCAAGCGGAAATATGAACCGAGCGAAATTAATTAAGTGTTGGTAGAAAGGGAGTAGATGGATGAACCATGTATAGGAATGTGCTGTGCACGCATGTCTGAAGAAACGCGGAAAAGGTTGGATGCACCAAGTCCAAGAAATTCTTAATTTGATTCCGAAACAGCAGAAAAGCCAAGCAATTGGGGTGAAAAGAAGTAGTTGGCCCTCACGCAGGTGGAAAAGGCTCGCTCACAGTGTGTGGATCATACTACTGATGATGTAAAGTAATCTGCAAGACTTCATTGCCTCAGTCCCTGGCATAAAGGCATAAAAATTTGAAGATGAAAATCGGAAGAAGAAAGTAACTGCACCAGTCCAAGGAAACTCGGAAAGTGATCGATTTCTATCAAACTCACGGGGTCAGAACCTGCCCCATTCTTTCAACCAGATTCGTTAACTTGTCTGGTGACATTAGAATCAATCAATTCCGTGTTGGTTGTCATACTCGATTTATATAAAGTATAGAACCCTCACAAACCAACCTGAGGTGTCGTTGGGGGTTTCTCACCAGCCACGAATAGGTCTTCATTCATGATAGCTGGCTTGAGCACGTAGCCACAACCTCCGTTTTCCGAGAAGCGTCCCTCCTGAACAATTTTGAGGATTTGAATATACCTCTAGTTTGATAATAAATTTATTGTAAATGGCATATGCCATTTGGTGAAACCCGTAGTGCTAGGGAAGTCGTCCTGTTCAATAGTTTGATTGTAAGTGGGAAGCGTGAAAAAACTGTTCCAAAGAGTTCGAAAAGGACTCCATAAAGTAGGGTTGATATTCCATTTACCTGCAGATCAATCATGAGTCCCGGTGTCTGATAGTTGAGGCCGACTAGTTGTATTCCGTGGTTCCAGAACTCCTGCGGATTCAGATTGGACGAGTCTGATCGAGAAGGGTTAGGCCCAACACTGAAACAACACAGCTTATCATTATTGAGACCTAGATCTATCAGATGTAATATTGCTCTGACGCACAGTCCTACAGGAAACACCACTACAGGAAACAAATGTTTCATTGGATGAACACTCCACACTTTCGCTTAGATTTTTTTGTGGGAAGTACTTGAACTAATGTTACCTGACTACATAATTCCTGGACATTTGGCTGAATTCCTGGGCATAGGTGTGTGTGAGTCGGAGAGCCGTTGTTTCACTCAGTACCGCCACATGGTTTCGAGGGTTCACTGAAATGCTCGGGAAATAAAACACTTGCTATGAGCAGATCTCTTTCTAAGATGCTCCACTTCAAGGTTTTCTTTGAGCATACCATTGGACCTGAGCCCGGTAAGCAACTTCTGACTGTGCGAATGCGAACGCTAGGCTACTGTGCGCTGGGAACTAGACTTCCAATCTTCCTGTACCAAGTAATAATAAACAGTTAATCAAGAAGACTCGAGAATTCGGTGGCTCCAGAGCGAGTAGATCCTGAACTCTAGGTCGCACTTGTTGATCGCGCGTTTCAACTTGGCGTCTTGGGGCTATGTTCAGGTCGTATTGTAAAAGCTCCCAAAAAACGAAAGAAAATCAAGCGCTTCAAAAGGTCACAACAGGAAAACGGCAAAACAGGAAAACGGTGATTAGATTGCAAAAATTTCGTTGAAAGTAGGGGAAACTTACTCGTGGAGGAGTTGGGAGCAGTAGCCATGAGATCGTGAAGCGATTTCACCTGTAGAAATGGTGGCACCAAATCGGACAGCTCGCGACACAATCGTATCCTGATGGATATCAAACTTATATTTGGTTTCATTCTCAGACGGAAACCATTGAAAGGGATACAATAAGAATAGTTTTTCGAAAATCAATTTTAGGGGATGCTTGCTGACCACAAACAAGCTAATTTGTGAGTAATTGTTAGCTTTAGGGCGGAGATGGTGTAGTGCAAGTGGCGCAAGATCATGTAAGTACAATATGATTCTCCATCCGAATCCCGGATCAACACTCGTCTAGGTCAAATGAGACTACCAACCCTCCAGGGACAGTTGACGGTATCATACTGGATATTGGTTTAGTTAGATGGAAGCACTGATTTACACATCGACTGCCAAGTCATCGAATGGCCCTATACGCATTCAAACTGCTACTACGAATCTGAGTGGAAATCGCGAGCGTATCATCGAAATGGGATTGATTAAAGCCAATGGACTTGGACTATATAGTCTTGAACGGGATTCAAATCCAAAAGTATACCTTTTGGCAAAAAGCTCATTCTTCCGCTCATCACATGTTGGCAATAACCTTGTGGTAACTTTTCAAATTACGAACGACGGGGATAACCACTAGCTTAAAGCAATACTTACCGTTGTGACTTCCGCCGTGAACAGCTGGCAATACCGTGATCATCTTCGGAAACTTCACCACTTTCTGCTGAGCAGCATAGGCGTTTGCCCTGTAAAATGTCGAATGAGGCAATGGTAATGTTTCCTAGTTGAAAACTCCGAGCTGAGCCATGCCTCGGTTTCTTTCTGAGTTGACTATTGTTATGTAATGAAGTGAATGGGAAAAAGCGGGAAGTATATTGAAGTCTAAGCTCCCGGCTTTCACTTGGACCGTGCTGAGCAAGCGACTCTATGGTAAAAATCAAGGAATCGAATTTCACGT